TATATAACACATTGCATAACGATGACTCAGTCCTCGTGTATCAATGTACGTAATGTGACGTTACTATACATAAACTTAGCTCTTGCAATTTGTACAAATATTATTTCCACAAACGGAGAAGCTCCAGGCCGTTGGAAGCACCGACGTATGGAAATCAACGAGACACCTGTCGGCGGACTAATCCGATCTTATCCCAGCATCATGACAAGTTGACGTACCGACAATTACGTGATGTCAGTGGTGTACCCAAGAAGAGGATTAGGAGGATAAATCTCCCCTCCGAAATTTTGGAACCAAATATGAGAATGAAAGGTTGAAAGCGAAGAGAGAAATAAAATTGTGAATGCTTTAAAGTCTAAAGACAATGCTCTGAACGACTGTAATAATAATTGATAAGATGGCATATGTCTGTCGTACCAATTATACGATGTACGCAATCTTTTCAAAACGCTCAGACTTCTATTATAGTCCTTTAACAGTAAAATGACGTTGCTTTGGTTTGATTCAGATGTAAAAGATATCTGAATTATTTTACGCTGTATTTCACTATCTTTTCGCCGTAAAAAGACGTATAGCTTCTTATTTCATTCTTACATACAACATCAGTGTCTTAAATAATGTACAGCCATCTAAATATACAAAGGCATATATTATAAGCAGGGATTTCTTGCCTACTATTGTCTTTGAAAAGTCATTCTAAGTGTCTTTTAGGGGTTTACAATCTTTTAAGGGGTCTGCAACATAATTCGAGAAAGAAATTCTTCTTATTTTTTTTTTTAAGTTTATTTCGAAAGTTTATTAGTTACTACCTTTATACATATAATATGCGCTAATGTTACAATTAGTATTAAATCTTTTCAAATATATCTCCCCCCCCCCGAAATTAAATCTTGGCTACGCCCCTGCATGATATTGTATATTATTAGTTATTATTAGTTATTATATAGCTACTTCTATAGATATTATAATTTACATACAAATATGACCGTCGAAGACATAATGATGCATAATGATGCAAAAACAGAGATAAAATAATGCAAAAGGTATAAGATACATCTACTACATTCTTCATCGTTTCAGAGAACTATTAATATTAAATTCTATTCTTAAATTCTTAAATTAATTAAACTATTCTTAAATTCTCAAATAAGATGTACCATTTCGGCACTCATGAAAGAATCACGGGAAAAGGAGGGTATTCGCGAATTGCTAAAATAACAGCAATAATTTATATTATTATCAGATTGTACACTTAAAGAAAAACGTTATTGCTTATTTTTTATGATGCACGCGTAAAAATTGTGAAGGCCACGCAAATCATGCGTGCGGAGATACTCTAAATGTGTACGCTATATATATATCTCATGATAACGATGACTGGCAAATCAACTGCCATCAGTCAGCGAGTGCCAATGAGTGCGCGGTTCTTGAATGGCATCGTCGCGATGTAATAGGTCTCCTCACACTTCTATTTTCAAGGGCAAGCCTTCAATTTATCGTAATCGATTTCATTAATGCGTGACCTTAATGGCGGAATGACAACTTAATCCTCCGTTTGATTTTCCATAATTAGAGCTTCGATGAGACATCCACGATCGATGGACAATGTAATACTTAATTGCTTAATTTTGAAAGTGATTTATGTACAAGATCTTTTTTAACCCTTTAGGGATTGTTAACCCACACATCGATCCCGTTGGAGTAAAATGTTATAATTTATAAGATAGTCTTAAAAAACGTCCCTGATGAAAGTTTTTTAGTCTTTTTTTTATTGTACATAATTATGTACACAGGCTCCTAAAGGGTTAAAATCGATTTCTTTATCTTTCTTTCCAATATGATCGATTCAGTGGGAACAGATGTACTAATTTATGCCGATTAAAATGAAAAAATTTCGTCCCAATGAACAACCAAAATCACACTTTTTGCTGCGGCAGCGAATCATTTAACGTTGACGATATGCAATCAGATTTGTCAATCGCATTAAAAAACACGCTTCTGCTTTCGTAAACAATTAATCAAATTGAATAGCAAGTTATAACTCTTATTATGGCTCTCAATTTTTCTATTTATATAAATGTTCTCTGAAGACTAAGTTAAAGTTAGTTAGATATATATATATATATATATATATATATATATATGTTTATTAACTTTAGCAATACAGCCAGAAAGTGGACTTGGTTTACATCAATCCTTAATCACTCATACTTGTATTCAATCCACGCATACACAAATATCCAAAATCCTATTATAAATTATACCATTATATCTTATTGCACTATCTCCTATCCTCCTCACAGCCTATCTCACAGCCTAATGACATTCTATATCTATCTTCTTTTTCTTTCGCATTCCTTTCCCTAACAACTTTCAACAATACCTTCGCTTTGGTGGTGTCCAATTTATCATTCCAAAGTTTATCCAACCTTAAAGTTAGTTAGATAAAACGTTACACTTTAGATTATAGTAATGCGTTCTGTTGAAATTTAACGTTAACAATATATACGCGACGATTTCAAACGCGATAGCGGAACAGAATGTATGAGATAATTTTGAAATTTAAATTCTTGCTGGCTCACTTGAAATGCGCATAAGATATAACTATCGTGACATAGTAAGAGTAAAGAATGACTTTAAATATAGCTAAACAAGCCTTTGTTCCTTTTTTATCCGCAATGCACTTTCGACCATTTTTTAAGGATGTAATTGTGCGTTGCATTTTGTACGTATGTATTATTATACATATATAACACTGTACTACGTATATCTTTCGTACAAGAAAAGTACAGTAATTATAACATAGGAATTTAACAATCACTTCGTAAGATTAAAAAAAAAATTATGTTTATTTATTACATATGTTTGGAAGAATTTATTAAAAATTTTAGTTTATTTATTTTATTTATTTAAAATGTTTGAAATACTTGCGTTTTGACACGCTGACTTAATCAATACGTTCTTACGTAACAAAATGTACAGTCACACCATCCACGTTGAAGGATGTAAAAACATAATTGCATTTGTGCAACATGTGGTTTTTTCTTTTACGTGTGCCCCCGGCATTAAGTTAATGACGCGGACCTACTTTTCAAAGCAGCCTGGAATGAGTTATACACCCGCGGCTGCGAAACTCTTTGTAAATAAAGCTATGTCAAAATCTAGAGCGGCGAAGCCGTTCTCCGATTTCGCGACGTCGGTTTCGTTTCGGTACAAAAAAAAAACTTACGTCATTTTGCTCTCACACATACATGTGTTCAATTCTTCATATCACGACTTCCAAAATCTTAAACTACTACAATTTATGATAAATAATTAAAATATCAATTTTCCGAAGATATTCGGAATAATTGGCGTGTTAATCGCCAAGGTCACAAAAATAGCATCATGAATGATAGTGCTTATCATGAATGATAAATTCTTACGTATTAAGATTCTTGTGTTAAATAATTCAAATATTTTGTTAAAGTCATGTATATATGATTTAATTAATACAGTAATTATAAATATATAGCTTAATTGTATAAATAAATTAAATATTTATTATTTAATTAAAATAATTATATATTTATACATATATATATATAATTTCAAATATAGTTTTTAAATATAATATATATTATTTCAAAACATATAAATATATATTTCAAATAAACAGAAAGTATTTTTAATCGATTATCTCAAGAAGAGATACACAATCACATGCTGATAAAATAATCACGTTTTAGTCTCATGGGCAATCTTCATAAACTCCAGAAGTAAATAATAATTAATAAAAATTCGGACAAGTACAAACTGCGTAAAAAAATTCACCGAAACTACACATATATATTTTGTTATATGTATGTACATACATCGCACATATCCCACGAGATAAACAGACGGGCTGCGACACTGGCTGACACCCGTTGTTCGCAAACATGGAATTTTTCTCGCTCGCTCGAGATCGCTTGACGAAAAAAAAAAAAATAACATCGTACGATGCATTATCGACGAGCTTCCGCGTAAACGTTCACGACGTCGCGTCGCCACGTTTTAATCTCGGAAACACCCTCCCTCCCTCTCACGCTCTCTCGTCCTTCCCTGCGATTTAATTTTATCGGCGAGCCTACTTATTTGCGCCGTTTATCTTAAAAAGTGCGACGCGCGCGCGAAAAACGCCCGTCATACTTTTTGCTTTTGTTAGACTCACTTCTTGGATGCTCCGCCATTCTCGCTCGATCCTTGAACCTTGACGCTACCCTGCTCGACGAAATTCCCCCTTCGCACCGGTCGGCGGTCCCCTTTCGGCACAGCCGAATATGTCCGTTCCCCCGGCGGCCGGCGATCTCGCGCGCACGTGGCCAGCGTGGCCTTGCCGCCAAAATGACACCGTCACCCGTCACGCGTGACTTTGAGGTTAAGCGTCAGCGCGACGTGCACACGGAGTTTTCTTGCGCCTCTGCTCCTCTCCGTTCTCGCCGCCCGCCCCCGCGAAGAAAGAGCCGCCAATCCTCGCGATTTCCTTCGGTTCGGCATACCCTACCCCGTCCCGTCTCATTATCAGTGCGATAAAAATAGCGCGCAAACACCGAGCTAAAAGCAACTTCGTTTGATTTTAACCGTTTCTTTTTGCCGCGAGAGAGGGAAAAAAGAGAGAAACGCATTTTCACTTCTGAATATATATATTATATAAATCTGTTTCTACGCAATTTTCATGCCAAGCGGAGCAGAAGGCGTATGGAAGAAAGAAAAAGAAGGAAAGATAGGAACTCGTACAGGGTTGCGTTCGAAGCGACTAATTTGTTTTAATTAATTTTCTATTTGTCTATCTTTGTTTTGATTTAAAAAAAAACTGCGACTTTGCACTCGCATACTGGTGACGTAATCATTTTACGCGGTCTCTCTCGTGACACTTCTTCCTTTTAAATGCGTTTCAAATGCGAAATTGCGAAAAGAGAGGATACGCCGGCCGATACGATCGAAACTGAAAGTAAACGCTGCCGCCATCTGATCGGTCGCGATCGCGTTTTCACGCGTTTTCTCCAAAGCCGACGAACGCGATTGTCGTTGCGGGTCGCGGCGAACGGTCTACTTTTCTCCGGCTTCTCTGCTTTGCAAAAGAAATTAATGTACGTTTAGCAACATTTATGGACGACTATCAAAATTACATTTTGTCATCAATTGTGTCTGTATGTCGATATAAAAAACCATGCGTTCAGTCATTCTGATAGAACTTGATGAGAAACTTAACCTCCATGTCAAAGAAATTCATAACTTTATATTATTTCACTGTAATTTAATATTTATATAATATTAAAGTAGTACGATATTGATATTTTTATTATATTATATTATCAGAAAGATGAGGTTGACGTCGCTGTTTTTTCGTAACGCGAGGCAACCACAGAATGAGAAGAAGGTACCCTTCAAGGCGATCATGCCGTTAAAACTAAGGGACTTTGTGAGTTCGAAGGGAGGTCGGAGAACATCGGGTATGTCTGAAGATCAATTTATTTTCCCATGGATATGTTTAAAGACCGTTTCTTACTGTATTCTAGTTGTATATAAATGTTACAATGTGGCTGATCGTAGGCTATAAACTTCATTCCGCACAGAGCGTTTCAATATTTATTACAGTTAGCGGTAAATTATAATATTCAGAAAACTTATACTTCATACAATTTTAATATATTTCTGTTTCCAGAACACGGATGTTTGTACGAGATGACCTTGCTTTTGTCGTGCCTTGAAGAAAATGAGTTCGAAGACAAGAGATGTGTCCAGCAAGTAAACGCATTAAATAAATGCTACAAAACTTACACCGATAACGTGCAGCGTATGCGCTCCACGCAGGATCAAGTGGTACCTGTACCCGAAAGTAAGAACCTCACGCACAAGCAGGTCACGTATCTTCTACGAAGTTATCCAACAGTATAGCGTTTTTACATCTGTAGTACTGCATACATTAACATGTGTTGTAAAAACTATTTAATTGTTACCATACTTAATATAAGTGCATAAAAAAATGTTTCTGTAAATATTCATAAATATTTTTATTTTAATTTAATTTGTACAATTATATTAGTAAAGCGTGTATATACATGATAGGCTTTTAATTTGAAATAATTATTTGCTGTTCTTAACGTCGGCGGTGTCCTCCAGTTTATCAGAAATTGTGTGCAAACGTTTCAACGCGAGCCGTCTCGAGTAACCTAAACACGATACAATTTATAACACGATACAACTCTCGCATAGAGTTTTACATCATAAAATCCATACCAATACGTACGAATTGGTTCAATCGTGTTGGAAATAGTTGTAGTTTTCTGCATGACGTCCAATTGCTGCTCGATTCTTTGTAAAGCCTTATAATTCTCTAACTGTTCGTCTTTATAATAGTAATATGTACAGAATAATGTTACAGCACAAAGTGTTAAGGCAATTTTTCTGTACAACCATGTTGTACTTAACAGGTGCGTCTGTAAGAGAACCCAGCGTAGACACTTTTTGGTGAACAATTTGTTTGAAAATTTTATAATAATTATTACCTTATCATCCGGAGACTGAGGAATAATCTTATCGTAATATTGAACCAGTATTCTCTCAGCCACTATATTTAAGCTTAGAATACTAAAAAGCGCAACTCTTGCATCAACCGTTCTTTTAGAAGCACTGAATAACGCGCAGAGAATACAGCTGACGGTGTAAAATATGATGGATTGAAACCAAGACACTTCTCCAATAATCCAGCTTTGGAAAGTGCGTATATATGAAAAGATCTCGTAAAGCAGCTCTTTCTGATCCTTAGCCGATTCTCTAAAATTTAAGAATTTCAAATCGACGATTCACATTAATTACTATTCGACTAAGTAAGTCGAATTTCAAAACGTTTTAAAAATCAGCTTTATGAACTCACTTGAAATCCGACACCATATTGCTGACTGTCTCGGACGAAGTCTGTAGTACAGTCTCGAGTTCTTTGCCGTGATCTAAAAGCTCATTTTGAATGCGCAAACCCTCCTTTTGACTGTTCAATATTACACCTTGCATTTGCGATGCTTCCAGCAATTGATCCTTCATTCGGGAAGATACTTGAAACAATCTACGACATATATGTAGAAATACGTGAGTGCTTTTGTATCTTTACAATGTGTAAAGATATTACACAGGGTATTATACATGTACGTACAACTTGATAGTGTTATCAACTTCAGCCTGCCAAGCTTCATGATTCAAAAAGAAACAGATATGAGTTGCGTGAGTGTAGAATTCATTGTAAACGCTGAACGCTCGGTCTGCCATGCCGCCAATGCATTTCCTATGAAAGAAATATTAACCGATTATCGCAAGATCAAACATAAAGTATAGGAAACTAATAAAAAAATACTCGTTTTCCGAATATTTTCGTACCGACGCTCGTCTTCCGTTTCACTGAGATAGCAGTCGTAGGTCGCGTGACCGGAATCCTCCAGGAAACAATTCGCTAGGCGCAAGGCGAGAAGCGAGTGCTCCTGATCGTTCAATTTGTCACAACTACTCTCCAACGCTTGTAGCGCGGTATGCCAACATTTTCCATGTTGTGGCAGTGATGACTTTGCTGAAAAGAAAAATTCCTGTTACCTACTACTTATCAGTTCTCCTACGTTTTAGCTTCTTACCTTTTATCAGGGAATATTCCTTCTCTCCCAGGTCTCTTAAGATCATATTGCCGTTGCTGGCTGATGTTTCACGAATAACAAGTAACAAGAGCCAAATCATCTTGGAATTGAATGCAGGGTCCTCTCAGATCTCGCTAATTTTCAGGAAGTGTATGTCCAACAGGAAATTTATGGTCCTTCATTATTCTGTCGAATGACATATTTAGAATGAACAAACGTTCTCTTGCGATACAGAAAGAGCGCGGATACAGACTAGACCTGTAATCGTATCATATACGTTTGTAACAACGGGTGCACGAAAAACAATCAACGATCAACTGCACAGTCAATCAAAGACGAAATTAATCACAGAAAAATGATTGAGTCCCACAGTCATTTGGGTTCAATGGACTTAATGAACCTGAATTCCATACATCCAGCATCTCTACATATCACATTTACATCTACATATGGACATTTTTGAACGATAACGCGACAAACAATTGGAGAAGAGTTGCTGTAAAGCTACTTGATTAAAATTACGAAATCCAAATCTGTTGAGGGTAATAATAAATTAACAAAGTTTATTAATGTATGCGTATTTAAAAGAAAAACTTTATTCACTTGGGAACATGACGAAAATTAAAAGAAAATACAAAAGTAATCGCAGATATTACGATTTTCGGTATTTATGAACGAGAATTTTGCACAATATACTTTCGCTCTCCGGAACCGTTTGCGGTTTCACGATCGGAGCACATCGTTCTCACTCGATATTTACGCTGATTATTCGAAGTCGCGGATAACGACACATTTTAAGCGAACTTGAGTGACAAGTAACAGATATATTAAGATTTTATTGGAATCGTAGGAGCGTAGCGTCGGATTTGAATCGGCTCGCAACGGACAGTTCCTCGATTTGGCGCGACAGCAAACCACCTGCGCTGAATCATAAGTGAATATTCGCCGTGCACTAGCGCCTCCGCAGAAGACTCATGGCCGCAGGAGGAAACAGCGAGAGGAAAAGCGTCGAGGGTTTAAAACGGAAGAGATGCAACTTCATGGAAGAAAGAAGAAAGAACAGAGATTGCACTTTTCTCTTTAAATTCTTCCACCTTCTCTTGCACTCTCTCCATTCGAGTGCAGAAAGCTGGAACGAACGAGCGAGAGTCGCGGCCGCTTCGATATCTCGAGAGCTGCGATATATCGAGAGACGCCATTCTCGAACGGCGGGACGCTCCGCAACGCGACGCTCCGCGAAGAAACCGTGAAAAGCGGATTCGAATGGTTGCCGCGCTGCTCGTCGATTATTATCGTTCGAAGTGAATCTCTCGCGTGAAAATTTGTGGATGCCTCGTGAGACGCCTCGTGAGTCGGATATTCAATTGGACGGTACGATTTAATATGCCAATTTGACTCAATATATCAACCCGATTCCATCCTGATGCATCGCGTTTTTTCAGTATCAACGATCCGGACGATCTACATCACCCGAAATCGACCAAGATCTTCATACATCTCACATTGTCATTTCCTCGCCGAACACAGCGGAGGTGCAGTTGGCATACAATTATCGCCAGGTATGGTGCCGGCTTGCACAATCTCGCTTCCCTTGAATTTCTTTCGCTAAAATCGACGCTCGCTAATAGCCATTGGTAATTTCCCGTTTGATTCGACGAGCGCGATGCTGACGAATTTCTGCATTCTTGTCTGAAACTGTTGTCTGTCTTAGTTACTTATTTCTTACATTGATTTTTCATTAAATGTTGTTTTATGATGTACTACGTATGTTCGTATTTGATTCGTAAATTCGACCTTATGCGTGCGACGTTACATGTTACATGCGTTGATTGAACATGTCCAAGAGGTCCAAGATATCCCTTGACTCAATAATGATAAAATTTATTCAGAATTACAGGTCTTTGATACTGTTTTGTCATTGATGATTATTGTAATATGTTCACTATACGTTTTATTTTTATATATCGCAATATGACGATATACTGTAATAATATTATATAATATATGTATTAATATATTATATAATTATAATAATATATTTTACATATGGTATTATTAATATAATACTATAATAATAAGACGATATATATTAGCAACTACAGAAATAAGTTTACGAGCAGAAAAACAAGTGTGTGAGTCTCATAATTAGATGATATTACCTAAGGAGTTAGAAATCTCCTCAAAATATCTCGTTTAACGAGTTCTCATTTTAACAACTTACATTGAAACAGAATTAATTAACATAAAATATCAGTTCCAAAGGTTATATTAGCTTTAAAAATGTACATATATATAACTGATACAGTTCTTGATCCATGCACATTTATTATTTATATTACTTAGAAGAGGATAATGATATATATAGAGTTTTAATATAAATAACAAATACGTTTGTTAAGCTTATCACAATTCAATACATTATTTTATACATATGAGTAATAAAAATTATATAATCTTTTACTTTAATTTATTTTTTATGTTTCAATCTCAGTAATAAAATTTGAACATTACATTTAGCCAAATAATGACAGACAACTTTTAATCATCTTCGGTCGAAGATTAAACTCATTAGATCTTATCAAATCTCATTAATGATTTTTCATTAGCCGTTTAATTACCGCCGCTCTCTCAAAATGACAAATATTCTCAGCTACGGTGTTCGACATTGATTTTTACAAGAGTATCGGGGTGTACGTCGTTAAATCAAAGAGAGACTGTCGAAGGGTCCGCAGGGATCGGAGTATAGCGTCGCGGCGCCCGCGCCGCTGGCAAACCGCCAGCGTCGCTTGCCATTGAATTCGCGCGGGCCGAAAATAAGTGAGTCGGTACGGTAAACAGGCGGTACAGTGACACACGGGTTCGATCTCCTCGCTTGCCTCTTAAAGACCGGTTTAACCGAACGCGCGCGGGGACATTTCGGGATCATTGTTCGGCCTGGCTGTCCTCCTCGTAAACTCGCACGAAGACGCCAGCGGCCAGAGGCGTAGCTGCAGAGGGATGCGGCGCATGCACATGCAACACATACACGTTCCATGTATTTATATCTCTTTATTATGCAGACAACACTTTGCTTTCAGAGTTTCACGATAGACGCTTGTGGTAATAATCATCGAATAATTGTGAAATGAGGTCATCCCTACGCGCAATGCATGTCGATTTATTTTTAATATTAGTTCTAATATTTCTATTTAATTTTTTAATTTTTTTTATTTTACAATACTACTGGATAATAATAGTACAAAGGGGAAAATATATAATAATATGTATGTGGGCGTGTGTATGTATAAAATTCTGTTTTCATATATTTATAATTTTGATATTATTACATATGTACATATATTATTTTATATATTTTATATACGTATAATAATGTTTAGATTTAAAACAAGATATGAAGTGAAGCAATGTATTACACATTAATAAAGTTTGTACGTGTTTGAGAAATAGGAAGATACTTCTAAAGGGAAAAGCTACGCCGCTGGCCTGATACAAGTCGTGAGTGACTTACAATAAACGATTATACTCCCCTTGGCTTTTGTATTTATCCTCAGTGACATTTGTCGGTGGAAATACGGATAGGCTCTTTATTAGACTATCATTGTGACTAGTATTTTATAATGCTTTTGACGTCATGTTCCTCACGATTACTATATCATTACCATTCTTGTAATTCTCTGATAAGATATTAGTCGGAACTGAGCATTCGACTCAATTGTCTATCTTACACCATATATACATTATAAAAAATATATATACAGAAACATCGACAAGTGCAAAACTCATACAATTTCTAGCGAAATAGGTATGCAATGTACATTTTATACGTCCTTTTCACAATGTACACAGTCCCTGATTTATTGCATAACTTCTCCGATTTCTTCTCGAGAAGACAATCTTCCCCCTCTCGTGCCCCCGGCGATAATTTAACGGGGCAGCATTGTATGCAACTAAAATTATCGATATTTCGCGTGGCGGACGAGTGATCTCAAGGCCAGACGGCGATCGATCACCGTTGCGCGGGAGACGCGGGCCCCCAAGACATGAAGGGGGGGAAATATCGCAGCGGGAGAGAGGAGACGATCGCGAGAGAGCGAAGGCGGTGACCGATCGATCACCTGAGCGGCGGCGCGTCCCATGCTATCGACAAAGTATATACGTATGTATACTACGCCGGAGCAAATCATCCGCGTCTCTAGCCCGCTTGACGTCAAGCTCGACGTCGCCACCGCTCCCCGGCAGCGGGGGATTAAAAATACCCCCGACCCCCGACCGAGGAGGTAGTCAATGTCGGATAATTGCAGTTTCGATTTGCCCCACATTTGCGCCCCCGTCCGTCGCGACGTGTTGCTCTGAAAAATGCAGAGGCACGAGAGCAAAGCGCGATCGCCGGATCATGTGTCCGGAAAAATTCCCGCTTCATTCATACGTGCGTTCGCGTCAATCGGTTATGTTTGTTTTCCGTTTGTGCTTCGTAGGTTTTCCCTCTTATTGTTAAAGCCTGGATATTATACGGTTTAAACGCAAAAGGGGTGTAAACCGATTTGAAAAGTTTTATTTCAACGAAATACAAAATGGACAAATATACGTACGATTATTTAATAATATCTTTCGGTCAATAAAAAAAAATTTCGATAGTTAAATTTGTTAACATTGTTTAGCTTAATTTGCTAAAAGTTAAGTATTCATATTTTCGATCGTGCCTTCTGTTTTGGAGTATCACGACTCTCGCAACGACTGTAAAATACTCCAAGGAGTATAATATTAAAATTTCATTTGGCAGTTTATTTATAGCAGCAAGAAATTTTGGAGTTATTCGATTAAGATGTTGCATGTCGTCTCTGATCAAGTCTAAGATGGCGAATTTATCTTCTTCGCCGTCGATATCGCGGATGCATCTTTCATCACGCGAGCAAAAAGAGAGCGGATCGGGTGCCGGATAAATGCGCTTAATCGAAGTTAAATAATGCAAGAAAATGTGTCGGGTTTCGCTTGCGTGTTGGAAAACAGCCGATATCAGGTGCCGGTGATGAATGAGAGCGTTTAGAAGCGAGAGAGGCTGACAGTACGCGTATATCGCGGGGGTAACGCGAAGCGGATGATGGTGATATTGTGATTAATTGACCCTTTGCAACCTTTGCAGCGAACCAGGTCATTTGCAGGGAACCGATATCGGTGCTCTAGACTCGGGCATTAATTCCCCGGACACGATTCTGGGAGAGGGACGTAACCGTAACGTAGCTTCGGCTATGGAATCCGAATAGGATTGATTTTCCATCTTTTTCTGATGTTTTCGATGGCGACGAGATAGCATTGAATTAACGATGAGATAAGAACGCTCGATCGTACAAAACACAGGCTATAAATTGTCGTGTTCCGATATTCCAACTAATAAAACATTTCTCTCTCTTCGAAGTAAAAAGCGCTGTTAAATTTGGCATTTCGCGGTCGTAATATAAGACCGTAATATAAAAAGAATCCAAAGTGTCCGAGAATGACTTAAGGGTTCGTAACGAATACCTGGTACTAAATCAAGGGTAATAATGTGCAAAGGGTTAATTAATAGGCTTAGAGGTTAATTAAGCGACGTGTTGAACAGCCAATTGCGAGAAGAGGTACATTTAGGGAATACGTCGCGTCTGAAAATAGTGCAATATTGACGCAAATCGAGTGCTATATCGAGTTATTCGAGCGGAGCATTATATTAATAGACAATAATGATAGGTAGAATTAAACGGAATGTCGTAACACACGCTTGGGGAATATCGATCGCGTCGCGTTGAAAAACCAGCACCGGGATTATAATTATCTGTAACGTAGGACGCCGGTTCTCGACGACAAGGATAATAATATTTATAATTAGTCTTATTACTCTGAATTTTCGAGGGTCGTGCTCGTTCGGCTATTATCTCATCCGAAAGTGATCCACTTGCCCGGATATTTCTGTAAAGGACTATGACCGCGTCCCACTTTTCCGCTGCTTAATTTTCCTCTATATTTAGTATTAATAAAAACAGAACGCATATTTGTGCTTTCATTGCCTGATGTATTTTTACATTTCTATAAAAACGTGATATATGAATATGATTCTCACGTTGTCTTTTGCGTTCATCGTTCATCCTTTTTTACGATTAAACTTTTATCCTGTTCCATTTAGTTGTCGTAAAGTTATCACGTTATTATTACATACATTCTCAGGTGAATCAGGGAAATTAACACGTG